TTGTCATTCCTGGTATAGTAGACCACATGGGGGTCTGATTCAAAATGGCCAAAACCAGTCCATTTCAGCATACTAATGCTTAGGATATCAATCTTTATGTGCGCCATTTCATTTTTGACAACTTCTAATTTTCCTAGATTCAAGCTTCGTACATTCCATGTTCCAGTTATTAATGGATGTTTGCAGTTGTTTCTCCTCAATTTGAGTTGTGCCATGTTAGCAAATGGAGGTCTCGAAAACTTTACCTTATCCGTATCATTAAGGCTGGTTTTATTTTGATGATGCAGCTCTTTCCTGGTCCTATTTTAGAGCCTTCGACCTAAGTGGCTTATCCTTCTGCACTGTATCAAACAATGTTTCTAGACTATTCATAAAGTTGCACAGTAATGTATCAGAGAGTGTTTCTCTGCTATTCATAATGTTTTACCTGGCCAATTCTTTGAGAAGTAGATGGCCTCCTCCTTCTTCCTAGTCTGTCTCAGTCTATAAGCTGTTGAAACCTGTGTACCATGTGCAACCCTACTGAGTTTGAGACACTGGTGGCACAGCCTCAAACTCACAGCAACACACCACCACAGTAGGACAAACTGACAGTTTTGTCTCCCTTAGCTGTTCAAAACCTCTCCACCCTTTCCACCCTCCCCTTACATAGATCCCTGCCTCTTTTCTGCTGCTTGGGAGGGGCGTGGCCTGGGTCCTCGGCCTTACTTAGATCCCTGCCTCTGCTTCCTCACTGAGAATTATATACAGCTTAAAATATGAAAATAGTTTCTCGAACAAGTCAAAATCTCCCAGACAAACCCAGTTGGTGGGGCTGTCATGGGCGCTAAGGCCACCTCCAGGGCATCTCATAGTTGGCTGGCTGCTGTTGTCTGCCTGGAACTGTGCCCGCTGCAGGCGAAGGCAGGAGCCGAGCCACCCCAGCGCCCACTGTGGCTTTGGTGGTTGGTGCATAAAATTGAATAATAGTAATATCAGTTGGTCTTTTTTGTAGGCATATAGGAGCTCTGGTGGTGTAGTGCCTAAGGCATTTGACTGTTAACCAGAAGGGTGGCTGTTCAATCCCACCAGCCACTTCTCAGAAAGAAGATTGGGCAATCTACTTCCATAGTGATACTATCTCAGAAACCCAGGGAGGGTTCGCTATGAGTTGGATCCGACTTGATGGCAGAGAGTTTGGGGTTTTTTTTTTTGTGTGTGTGTGTCTAGGCATGTGGATATTATCCTATCACTGATTGCATTGTGCTTCAGGATAATCTTGAAACATTCTTTGTGATGATGAATGCCATGCCATTCCTCTTCTATTTGTCATCCTAGCATAGTATATCATATGGTTGTCTGATTCAGAATGGCCAAAACCAGTCCATTTCAGCTCACTTATGTCTAGGATATTGATCTTTATGCATTCCATTTCATTTGTGACAACTTCCAATTTTCCTAGATTCATACTTTGTACATTCCATGTTCTGATTATTAATGGATGTTTGAAGCTGTTTGTTCCCATTTTGAGTCATGCCACATCAACTCAAAAAAAACCCCACCAAACTCAATGCCATTGAGTAGTTTCTGACTCATAGTGACCTCCATCTGGGTTTCCGAGTTGTAAATCTTTACAGAAGTAGATCGACCCATCTTCCTTACATGGCGTAGCTGATGGGTTTGAACTGTAGGCCTTCTTGTTAGCATTCAGATAGATGCCTTACCGCTGTGCCCTCAGAGCTCCACATCAGCAAATGGAGGTCCTGAAAACTTTACTCCATCCATATCATTAAGGTCACCTCTACTCTGAGGAGGCAGCTCTTTCCAGTCATATTTTGAGTACCTTTTGACTTGAGAGGCTCATTGTGGTGGTTAAGTTTGTGTGTAAACTTGGCTGGGCCTGATTAAGTGGCTGTGCAGCTGGTGGTAGTTATTCCTCATGGTGAGACTGGTAATTAACTTCATGGTGGAATCTATTGGAACAGCTGAGTAGCTGCTTTGGTTATGTGGTTGTTTCCTGTATATAAGAAACAGTTTTGAGAATGGTCTCTAGCTCATGGCATGCTTGAACCCTGCATGTAGCTGAGTTGCTGTTCATCAGCCTGCCATGCTCTGCTAATCTTGGGACTTTTAATGAACTTGAATTAATGGCCTGCTATGTGGTTTGGTAACATCAGGACTGTGCCTTTCCACTTTGTCAACCTTGGGCTTGTTAGTCTCAGCAGCCAGCAACTGAGTGAAGAAGAACCTCTAGCTTCAGTGGGCCGGGAGCAGGAGGCAGAGCTGAAGCTAAGATTGGGGGCTTTCGCTCAGCCCCTAGAACCTGGCACTTTGAACTCAGACTTCTAGCCTCCTGAATTGTAAGAGAATAAACTCCTGTTTGTTAAGGGCATCCCATTGGTATATTGTTGTCGGAGCGGCACTAGGTAACCAGAACACTCATCTTCCAGCAATATGTCGGACAGTGTTTCAGGGCTATTCATGATGTTTTCCAATACTATATCAGGCAGTGTTTCAATGCTGTTCATATGGTTTTCACTGGCCAATTCTTTGAAAAGTGGATGACCCCTTACTTCTTCTGAGTCTGTCTTAGTTTGTAAGTTCTGCTGAAACCTGTCCAGCATGGGTGACCCTACTGGTGTTTGAAATACTAGTAGCATAGCCTCTAGCCTCACAGCAACATGCAAGCTACCACAGTATGACAAACTGACAGATGAGTGATGGATTATATGAAATATAATACTATTTACTTAAATGGTAAATTCTAAGCAAAATGAATAAACATCATTGTTTTAAATAAAGAGTTGCATGATTTAAAATTCTAAAAACATTAGTAAAGTTTGTCTCTGAGGGAGGTTAGAAGAGAAAGCAGAATCCAGAAATAATTATGCTTCTGTGTTATTTGGAGATATGTATGCCTGCGGCAAATTAAATAGGTTAATGAATTGCATAAAACTAAACATTAATTATTCTTTTCACCTAGATTTCCTAGGCTTTTCACATTTTCACCCTTCTAGCTTTCCTTACCCACATTCTAACCTGGAAGAAGTAAAAGTGACAGGTTAAATAATGTAATAATCCTCTATTTGTGGTAACCCCAGATTATCGAGCAACATCAGTATATGCATTTTCAGGTAGTAATATTCACTTACAGGCTATTATTTCTTGGCAACTAAATGATAACATAAACACCATGAAACCTGCCACATTTGAATTAATTAAACACACTAGGATTTACTTGCCATTTTGGTGCCAGGGATTCCACATAGTAATTTTTTAAATAAATACTCAAGATTGGCCTTATGCAAATTGTGTATATCTTCCTCAGTAGTGTGATGTGGGAAGCCAGAAAAGATCTCCCTGTCTCATCCTTTCTAAAATCTCTGTCTACCTGCCTGAAATTTCTTTATGTTGTTGTTGTTGTTATGTGCTGTCTAGTTGGACCTGACTCATAGCAACCCCTCCTTGGGTTTCTGAGGCAGTATCACTACGGAAGTAGATTGCCTCATCTTCCTTCTGAGGAGTTGCCGGTGGGTTTGAACCTCCAGCCTTCTGGTTAGCAGTCAAGTGCCTTAGCCACTATGCTACCAGAGCTCCCGAAATTTCTTTATAGGGATTTCTCATGTTTAGAAGTTTTTCTTCAACCCAAATATTTAGTGGTTTATATGGAAGACATTATGCTGGACCAATTTCTCAAGCCTGGCTGCACTTAAATCATCTAAAGGGCTTTGTAGATGTTTTAAGATAGCAGTTTCCATACCCAACTGATTGTCAGAATGGAATGGCTTGTGAAATATTCTAAATAAACATACTGTCTGACTACTCAGTGTATCTGAGGTTGGGTTTAGGAATCTGTAATTTTCCATAAATTCCCCTGATGATTAGCCACATTTACCAATTCAGTTTCATATTGCTTGCTTTAGAAGTTAAGAAAATGATTTATAGAAATGTCTTTATTATTAATAATCTTAAAAAGTGAAAGTAAAAAGAAAAATGGAAGCAGATGTGAGAGGGTGTGTGTATATGTGTGGTATGTTGGGGTCGTAGGGCAGATGAGCAGACTAAGATGAATACAAGTAACCGTAGCATAAAGGAAACTGGAAATTGTGTGTGCTGTGAGGAAGATTCTAAGTGCAAGGGGTTCCAAAGGAGGAAGATAATTTTTTTTTTTAGTTGTTGGGACTAGGAAAGGCAGAGATGGTAGAAGACTCTTAGGGAAGGAATTACTTGAGATCGTGTTTTACCAGAGTTAACAATGTGATAATGATATGGTATAAGAAGCATCATTCTAGAGGTTCACGTAATTTTCAGAAATATCACTGAGAAGGTTGGCCTTGAAGTACCTTGAATGCTTAATTGTATCTGCTTAGTAGACAAGAAGGAACCAAAGAAAATTTAGCAAAAAAACTGCTTTAGAAAGATTAAGTAGGATGACACAATTAAGCAGAAAGGTCTAATCAGGATATTTTTGCAGGGATGTAGGTGAAAGTAATGAGCTCTTGAATGATAGTAGAAATGTTAAGGGCAGGATATGAGACCCCTGAATCCAGTTGAAAGTGAGTAGCTAAAGATAAGGGTGAGTTGAAGGTGCTTTCTCCCCAGTATTTATCAGAACCTGGCAGATAGTACCCTTCCAGGAATGTTTATTAAATTGTGAATGTTAGTGTTTCCTGCTTACATGAGTGGGAACATGGTAGTGTCATAGAAGCTGGGAAGAACTAATTGGTATTGGAAGATGATTGATTTGATTTGAATATTTGGAGTTTAACCTAGCAAAGACATTGATTCTTATTCCATATCTAAGCTTTACAAAGTGTAATCTTAAATGTTAACTTCTGCCTTTTCTTGTTCCTCATCATATATATATATATATATATATATATATATATATATATACACATATATATATATGTGTCTTTTGAGAAATATTTAAACTGTTAAAAGCCAGTTGCAATTTTTTTTTCCATTGTAATGAAGATAATTATAAAGTTGAAATACAAATTGTTTTTGTTATGGCATAGGTGGGAACAAGAGCCCAGTCAGAGAGAATACGGACATACAATTTCACCCAGGATAGAGTCACTGACCACAGGATAGCATATGAAGTTCGTGATATTAAGGTAATATTACTGACTATAAGATTACATCTTAGGAAACCCTATGTGGCAGTTCTCCTCTGTCTTATAGGGCCTTTATGAGTTGGAATCAATTTGACGGCGCACAACATCATATCCCATACTTTATATACCTTTGATTTTCAAAATAAGTATGGTAACATTTTATAGAGCAATGTCTGAAATATTGCCAGTGATTTAAAACCATTAAGGCAGTTTATATTAGTCATTACCCTAAAATTTGCGAACTTTTATTAGTTGGTAAGAAATATGGTCTTTGTAAAATTTCGAAACATTATCTTTTATAATTCCAAATTCTTTGCTTTGCAATCGTAATATATTAACATATATGCAACATATAACATACACACACACACACACACACACACGTGTATTAGTTTTCTATTAGAAATTATAAATAATAAGTTTCTGAGATCAGAAGTGTAAGCATAGCTTTGTGGGTCTCACACAAGGATGAAGTCAAGGTGTTGACCCGACTCTGTATCTTTCTGAAGCTCTAAGTCCTATTCTAAGCTCATGTGATTGTCCACAGAATTCTGTTGTCTTGAGATTGTAGGACTGAAGTCCCATTCTCTTGCAGGCAGGCAGCTGAGGGCTGCTCTAAGCTTCAGAAGACCACCTACAGTTGTGCCTTGTGGCCTCCATATGCCTTCTCATGCTTCAAATCTCTTCTTTCAGGAAGAACTCAGGCCTACTTGGATAATACCACTTTCGATTAATTCAAAGTCAACTGATTAGTCACCTAATCTTGGGAGTTATACCCCATCATATACACAGATTCTGCTAGCAATTAACAGAAGAATTATACAAGGTATATAAACCAGGGAGGAGTTTAGAATTCTGCATACCACAGTTTGTATTCATTAAATTCAGCTGTTACAATTACACGACTGAGGAAAAGATCATGTCAAAATGATTTGAACGTTAACCTAATGAAATCCCTTGTAACTGGGATTACTAGCATTTATACATGAATGATGAAGCACAAAAAGTTTTCCCTTTCCTTCTTTTGAAGGGGAAAATGAATAAGTTCCCATAAATGGCTACATGGAAAAGGCAGGACACAGAAAGTATTCGTTCTATTCTTGGTGCCATCTTGATTCTTTCACTTGATTCCTTCCCATTCTGAATTAAAAATCAAAGTCTTAATTTTACAGTGGAAATGCTTATATTTTTTTTCTTTTAAATTTTATTTAGGACCTCTGGTGGCAAAGTGCCTAAGGCATTTGACCGCTAACCAGAAACAGGCAATTAAAACCCACCAGCCACTTGTTGCTGTTGAGAATATGCACAGCAAAACATACACTGATTCAGCAGTTTCTACCCATTGCTATCAAGTCATTGATTCCAATTCATAGCATTCCCATAGGACAGAGTACAACTGCCCCATAGGTTTCCAAGACCTTAAATCTTTATGGAAAGCAGACTTCCACATCTTTTTCCCAAGGAGCCTCTGGTAGTCTTGAACCACTGATCTTCTGGTTAACAGCCAAACATTGTAAGTAATGCACCACAAAGGCTCCCTACAGTTTTGACATGTATAATTAAGTGATATTGATTATATTCTTCAAGTTGTGCAACATTCTCATCCTCCTTTTCTGAGTTCTTTTGTTAACATAAACTCACTGCCCTCTAAGGTTCCTATCTAATCTTTTGAGTTGCTGTGGTCAGTTTGATCCCATATAGATGGTGTTAAAAGAGCATAATGCTCAAGACAGTTATTTGTTACTAGTTAAGCTAAACCATTAACAGTTTCAAGATTACTTCAGGGGATATTTTTGGTTTAAGGTTTAAAGATTATCTCTGGGCAGTAATTTCAGAGGTTCATGCACCTGCCATGGCTCTAGAAAGTCTAGAGTCGATAAGAATTTGAAATTCTACTCTGTATTTTCTCTCTTTTGATCAGGATTCTTCTGCTGAATCTTTGATCAAAATGTACAATAATGGTAGATAGTACTATCCAGTTCTTCTGGTCTCCTGGCAAAGGAGACAATCAGCTATTCGTTCCATAATCTCCTCCTATTCCTGACTGTCATTCTTCCTCTGGGAAATGTGTGGTTTTTTGTTTTAAATCGAGGTAATATATAGGTAATAAAACATTTGCCATTTCTACATTCTCACAAGTACAGTTCAATGACAATTACATTTATCATGTTGTTCAACCATCACCATTAACAATTTCCAAATTTTTCCATCATCCTTAATAGAACTCATTATCTCCTAAGCATTGTGGCTTCCTTTGCCTCTCTTTCCCGACCAGCCTGGTAACCATTGATAAACTCTGATGCCTATATACTAGCCTGTTCTAGATACTATATTTTTAATATATGTTTAAATTTCTATGTATCTTGTGCCACTTCCTGCCTTTTCAGCAATTTAAGGCTGCCTTGCATATGAACATAGGAGTCTGATAGAAGTGGAGAAAATATTTTACAAAGTTGCCTTTCCACAGGAAACACACAGTTATAACCAACTATATTTAGCCATATTGTTCTAATTACACCATGTTCTTGACATTGATTTTCTGGTAGTGATGACAATTTCCCGACACAGCCACATTCTAGTGACCAGTAGCACATAGGTGCATAGTATATATTTAGTTAGGAAACATCCAAATTAGTTAGTTTTTATGGTTATAAAATATATGACTTTAGTCAAAACACTAACATGCTGTTACTAACTAAACTATCATGCCAGACTCAAAAATAATAAGTGTGCTTTAATAATCACTAATCAGTCTTTTGGAAAGACAGAATAAAGCATAAATCTATCCCAAAAGTTGAACTTGAGTTGATGATCAGATAGATGTGTGTGTATGTCTGTGTGTGTGTGTGTGTCTGTCTGTCTGATAGTTCCTTATAATGTCTTTAGAGATTTTAAACAAGTGCCCAGTATAATAATTGATGAACATTTTGATTGACTTTTAAAATCAGAGTAATCTATTTGGCTTTTCTACATTCCTCTCTAGTTTTTTTTTTTTTTTTTGTCTGAATGGAAAGTACAAGAAGCAGCATTCACTGCAAGAAAAGAAGCATGCATCTGCAAGAAAATGCAGCTGCTAATTAAAATAAATCTGCCTACCTAGAAGATGATGCAGTCCTATAAACCCATTGCCATTGAGTAGATTCCGACTCCTGCAAAAAAACTCACTTCCATCAAGTTGATTCTGACTCATAGTGACCCCTGTTGGGATCTAAAGCTGTTAATCTCTCTCTCTCTCTCTCTTTTTTTTAAATTTTTATTGTCATCTTGGTGAAAGTTTACAGAGCAAATTCATTTTCCATATTAGCAGTTCATACACAGTTTGTTTCATGACATTGATTACGATCCCCAAAATGCAACAGCTCTCTTCCCACTTCCTCCCTGTAGTTACCTCTTCCCTGTGTCCTTCTTTCCCATGCATTCCTGCCCCCTGAGTTATTTCCCTGTGCAAATACTGCCCTTCAGTTCTTTAATGTTGATCATTTTAAGGAGTGTATCTACCTGGTGTAAATGTTCACCCTATATGCCTGTCTATTGTTTGGCTAGAAGCCATGAAATTGAGTTCAGTTCCAGGTCTGAAGGGTAACTAGGGGCCATAGTCTTGGGGGTTTTGCCAGGTTCTGTCAGCCTAGTCTTCTTTATGATTTTGAGTTTTGTTCTACATTGTTCTCCCACTCTATCCAAGATCTACTGCACTAATCCTTTTCTAAGTGGTTGACACTGGTAGCCAGGCACCATCTAGTTCTTCTGGTCTTATGGTCATATAGACTGAGGTTCGCATGGTCCACTAATCCCTTGGACTAATTGTTTCCATGTGGTTTTGGTTTTCTTCATTCTTCTCCTGAGGAAGAGATACCAATTATTGCATCTAGATGGCTGCTTGCATGCTTTTAAGACCCCAGTCACTACTCACCAAAGTAGGATGTAGAACAATGTTTTTGTGTAGTATGTTATGCTAATTGAGTTTGATGTCCCCCGAGATCATGGTCCTAAGGCCACAGGTCCAACTACTCATTCTCTCAGGGTGGTTGTGGCTAAGAAGTTATCATAACTTTGCCCTGTTAGTTTCATTTATATGGACATTCTTGCAGCACATACAGATACGTATGTAGAAGTATCATCTGCCAACCTTATATTTGGTCATGGGTATATTCCCTTTGCTTAGACATACCTGATAGATAGTTAAGAGACAAGTATTGATTTGGGTGACAGGAAAGGCAATATACCAAATCAAGTGACATTAAGGAAAAGAAAGACATAGGTGCATAAGAGGTACATATAACAAAGATAAAATACTTTTACATATATAATACTGCATTATCAGTGATAACAACATTAATCTATGGGTAAATAGATGGGTAGACAGGCTGAAAGATCAGGTAGGCCAAGGCTGTAAATCTTTATGGAGGCAGACCACTTCATCTTTCTTTCATGGAGCAGCTGGAAGGTTTGAACCACCAACCCTTTGGTTAGCAGCCAAATGCCTTAACAACTACACCACCAGAACTCCTTACTTCAGTCACCATACTTTACTGATATTGAGAACATTTCTAAAAGGAGTGTCAGAGCAAAATGAAGTATCAATATTTTTTTTTTTTTTTTTTTTTTAGGATTTGGGTGAAGATTTACAGAGTAAATTCACTTGTCATACAGCAGTTCACATATACTTTGTCTCATGTCATTGACCAAAATATTTTAAGGCCATAAAATGAATAAACTATTGGGAATAATACTTTTAAAAATACATATTTTTTTTCCTTTCGTCTTTTCATATTCTGCTTATCTGGATTTGATCTGAGGGCAAGTCAGACTGTCAAATTATGTTTATTTTACCCCTGTGATGAAAGGGACCATGACAGATCTAAAGATACACAAAGCTAAGAGTCAAATTATAGAAACAAATATATATTAAATAGAAGTATAAGTAATCAATGACAGTTTAATTCAAGAGATGTCAAGATGCAGTTCATTGGTTATATAACTATATGCATTTGTCAAAACTCATCGAACTGTACACCAAAAGAATGAGTTTTAACATATGCAAATTATACCTCAATAAATCTGACTTAAAAAAAAAAGCAACTGTCAAAAAATTAAACAACCTAAATGACCAGCAACAGATGAATGAGTAAATTGTAGTATATCCTTACTATAGGATACTACCTCAGTAATAAAAAGGAACAAACTAAAATTACTGATATATGCAAGAACGTGAGGGAATCACAAGAACATTAGGTTGAATGAAAGAAGCCGTATAGAAAACAATACAGACTGTATGATACTGTTTAGATAGTATTCTAGAACTACAAAAACTAAATTAAAGTGATGAAAATCAGATCAGTGGTTTCCTGGAGTAAGGGAAGTTGACTCCAAAAGGCCACAAGGGAACCTTCGGTGGGAATGGAAATGTTCAACATCTTGGTTAAGGTACTAATTATATCGAGGGTATATATTTGTGAAAACTCATCAAAGTAGATGCTTACAGTGGGCATTCCAGAACACTTATTGTGTTTGTGCAGAACTTATACATTGACCAGAGCCCATCATTCACAGAACCTGGGGATAATGTGTGGTTTAAAATAAGGAAAGGTGTGCATGAGGGTTGTATCCTTTCACAATATTTATACAGTCTGTGCTGAGCTGTATGAAACTCAGCTGAACTATATGAAGAAGAACTATATGAAGAAGCTGAACTATATGAAGAAGAACGTGACATCAGGATTGGAGGAAGACTCGTTAACAGCCTGCGATATGCAAATAACACAATCTTGCTTGCTTAAAGTGAAGAAGACTTGAAGCACTTACTGATGAAGATCAAAGACTACACCCATCAGTATGGATTATGCCTCAACATAAAAAAAAAACAAGAATCCACACAACTGGGTCAGTTAAGCAACATCATGATAACTGGAGAAAACATTGAAGCTGTCAAGGATTTAATTTTACTTGGATCCACAATCAACATGGAAGCAGCAGTCAAGGAATCAAAGAACATACTGCATTGGGCAAATCTGTTGCAAAAGAGTTCAGAAGTAAACCTGTCACTTTGAGGAGTAAGTTGTGTCTGACCCAAGACACGGTATTTTCAGTCACCTCACGTGCTGGACAATGAATAAGGAACACTGAAGAATTGATGCATTTGAATTATGGTGTTGGCAAAGAATGTTGAATATAACATGGACTGCCAGAAAAACAAACAAATCTGTCTTGGAAGAAGTTCAGCTAGAATGCTACTTTGAAGCGAGGATAGTGAGACTTCATCTCACATACTTTGGACATGTTATCAGGAGGGATCAGTCCATGGAGAAGGGCATCATGCTTCATAAAGTAGAGAGAGAAAAGGAGGAAGCCCTCGATGAGATGGATTGACACAGTGCTGCAGCAGTGGGCTCAAGCATAGCAACAGTTGTGAGGATGGCATGGGACCAGGCTATATTTGATTCCATTGTACACGGGATTGCTGTGAGTCAGAACCAACTCAGCAGCACCTAACCACATCAGCAGCACTCATCCCTTAGTTCAGAACTTGCCCCTCCTTCTCCTCCCTCCATATAGTTCCCAGTAGACCTGCTATTTTCTTACATGTTCATGGTCCTGACCCAGGATGATAATTGATTTGGGGGGGAGTATATATCTGAAGAAGCCCAGAGTTACTGGAAAAATTCAAATTCTAAAGATTGATTTTAAAGTAAAATACTAGTTCTATTTAAATTTAAACAGTTTAAGAAAGTAGAATTCATTTGCTCTTCTTGACTCATTTTTTATATAAAGAGCCACTACAAACTGGAGTTCTCCCAAGTTAGCAATTGTGTTCACTAGATTGTAGAGCCACATTACTAATCCTTTGTTGCTGTTAAATTATGAAGAAACCCTGGTGACACAGTGGTTAAGAGCTTGATTGCTAACCACAAGGCCAGCAGTTCAAACCCACTTAGCTGCTTCATGAGAAAAAGACTTGATGATCTGTTCCCATAAGAGTTCAGCCTAGAAAACCCTATGGGGCAGTTCTACCCTGTCATATAGAGTTGCTGTGAGTCAGAATCGATTTGACACCACACAACAACAACATAAGAAAATTAAGTAAATAAACACTTAACTCTTTGCTTTGTTTCTCATTTATTTCTAATAATCAGATTTTCCTAATAGCTTTGTCTTTTACCAGGAATTTTTATGTGGTGAGAAGGCCCTGGATCAGCTAATTCAGAGACTGCTTCAATCAGCAGATGAAGAAGCCATGGCTGAACTTTTGGATGAAAACCTTAAATCAGCAAAATAAAGGCTGATTCATTATTAATTAATGAAATAGACCCTCTATCAAGAAGAAGACTGAGACATAGAAATCTTTGTGGATTTTCATAAAGTACAGCTAAAAGTACACAGTACTTCCAATATTTTTTTAATGAATCATGTCAGCATTTCTTGATCTAAGAGTTCATTTTAGGTGTCCTGTAAAGCACAATCAAGTAGAAAACAAACATGCATCACTGAAAAGAGAAATAATAAAGTATTGAGGATTGATTGTGTGTTAGACCACTTGCTCTCTATATATGCCTTTTTTTAGACATTTGTATATCCATTTGGAGTCCCTGGGTGGTGGTGGTGGTTCTTAGGTGCTGTTGAGTTGTTTCCGATTCATAGCGATCCCATGCACAGCAGAACGAAACACTGCCTGAACCCATGCCAGCTCCATGATCCTTGCTCTACTTGAGTCCACTGTCACAGCCACCATGTCAATCCATCTCGTTGAAGGCCTTCCCCTCTTTCGTCAACCCTCCATCTTACAAGCATGACATCCTTCTCCAGGGAATGGTCCCCTCTGACAATGTGACCATATTAGGTGAGACAAAGTCTAGCCATTCTCGCCTCAAAGGAGCATCTTGGATCACTTCCTCCAGGACGGATCTGTTTGTTCTTTTACCAGTTCGTGGTACTTTCAGCATTCTCTGCCAGCACCACAACTCAAAAGCATCAACTCTTCTTCGGTCTTCCTTATTCATTGTCCAGCTCTCACATGCATATGAGGCAATTGGAAATATCATGGCCTCGGTCAGGTGCACCTTAGTCCTCAAGGAGACATCCTTGATCCTCAGCACTTGAAAGAGTTCCTTCGCAGCCGACCTGCCCAGTGCTACACATCGTCTAATTTCCTGACTGCTGCTTCCATTGGCATCAATTGAAGAACCAAGCAATATGAATTCTTTGACAACCTCAATCTTTTCTCCATTTATCATGATGCTGCTTATTGGTCCACTTGGGAGGATTTTTTTTTTTGAATTGTGATTTGGGTGAAGATTTACAGAGCAGATTCACTTTCCATACAGCAGTTCACCTACACTTTGTCTCATGACATTGACCACAGTTTACCACAATGCAACAGCTCCCCTCCCACTTCCTCCCCATAGTTACCCCTTCCCAGTGTCCATCCCTCCATGCACTCCTGCCCCCTGAGCTGTCTCCCTGTGCATAGGCAGGCCTTCTTTCTCCC